ACCTTTAAAAATATCGGACTGGAAAGAATGTCATAAATTGCCCATCACATAAAAATATCAAACTGCTACTACAGAGACGTAAAAACCGTCCAGAAGTGAAAGCTTCTTTTTGTTTAATATCCTGGGAACAATAGCCGATAACTTGTCAGCTCTAATTGAATTTACTCTCATATAAAAAACGAAAGTGTCAAGTTACCATTTGTAACTAAAGATAGCAAACATCTCGTGGGAACAAGTGGTGACGATTCGTCAGCTCTAATTGAATTTACTCCCTTGTGAAAAACAAGAGTGTCAATTACCCTTTGTAACTAAAAAATAAAAATATCTCGTTACATCTGCATGGAACAAGAACAAAACAATCGTTACCTGCACTTACTATTGTAAACGTTAGAACTGTTTCAAATCTANTTACCTGCACTTACTATTGTAAACGTTAGAACTGTTTCAAATCTAGTCTCGTCTCCTCTAAAACATGTCCCAAGAACTAGAAGCGACGATTCGTGACCTCTAATTGAATTTACTCCTTGTCAAAAACAAAAGTATCAAGTTACCCTTTGTAACTAAAACTAAAAATATCTCGTCCATTTGCATACTACTAACTCATGAACTGCTTCAAAACTCAAGACTCATCTCGTTCAGAACTAGCCACCATTACACTGAAAATTATGCGCTCTACTGAAAACAACCCAATGTATGTATGTAACTGTCACACTCCTCTCCAAACTGGACTAAAAATCACGAACGGGCAACATACACGTCAGTTTTTAATTTCAATTACCAAAGTCCTTGTGTTTAATACAATAAAACGCTCAAGACTGCACATACCTGAAAATTTCCTTTTTCTCCAACTACAATTCGTGTTGGTTATTAATATGAATAAGGTAAAACCCTGATAACATTGAAGAGAAAAGATTTAGTTTCATTAAAACGTATCTTCTCATTCCAGTAGTAAACAAGAACCATTATAATTGTAAAATCGTCACAGAATATCTTTTTGTTCTGTTGACGAAATTAATCGTAGTCTCCTCGCTTTTCACATTGAAACTTATCGATTGACGCTTATCAATGGATCCTATCATAGCAACCACATCAACTTGTTTTTCATTCACATGTTAAACCTAGTAGTAGAGCGGTTACGACTCATTTAATTCAAAACCTTATCTAATGGGAAAAGCTAACCCTTCATCGCATGCTCGTAGTTATATACCAAACACTAAGTTTCTTTGACTGATTATCCAGTTGCAAAGATTATCAAACCCGCCCACAAAATTCTCAGCCTAACCCACAGAAAATGTCGAAGTAAGCCCAATATATGAATACTTCCTCCTCTTTAATAGAAGAATAAATATGGCCGTTCTGAACTTTATCGGGATCAAATCTTTTCACATACCATTTACCTAGTAGATCCAATCTGATTGGTGTGACATACATACATCTCTCACTCCCTCTCCTATTGCCCCGTCCATAACATACCCGACGCGCCGACTAAGAGGCATTTTTTTTCACAAAAAAATAACTCAAAAATTACTCGAGCGCCAAAGGTGCATTACTGTTAGGCCGTAGTTACTAAAACAAGGAATGACCTAAACTGACCTAAAATGATTTAAAATGATCTAAAATGACCGAAAATGATCTAAATGACCTAAAATGATCTAAAATGACCTAACATGATCTAAAATGACCTAACATGATCTAAAATGACCTAAAATGATCTAAAATGACCTAAACTGATCTAGAATATATCTAAAATAAATCTAAAATGATATAAAATGACACTAAAATGATCGAAAATAACCTTTACTGATGTAAAAATGAGCTAATATGACGTTTGATCTTAACTAAAAAGAACTACAAATGATAGTGGTTGGCAGAAGTACAGTAGTCTAAAGTGATCGAAAGTGGACTACTAATTGAACCAAGGTAAAACGACTTTCAGTGTTCTATAATGAATTACAGAACTGAGTGCTTACCAAAGTAAAGGCTGATACGAGGAAGCTGCTATGAACTGCCGGAAGACCGAAAACGACTCGAAAAGTTCCGATGGTTTCCGTAAATTCTGAGGAAATTCTCGATAATTACTGCATCACAGCCGCAGTTTTGATTGGCGTAAAGTGCCTAGTTTTTTTCCCAGCAACATGGTTTTGATTGTTGCGAAGTTTCATCGATAGGTACGAAGTTCCAAGTTTTTTCCCAGCAACGCGGTTTTGATTGGTAAGGAAACTTATTCAAAGACTAAGTATATTGCAGCGCATTATTTCCCAACCAAAACAATTACCTTGCGTATGAAGGATTGTCGAGCGCGTTCATTTCGCCGCTAGCGGTCGTTCAAGTTCCTCTCTGCAATTTTTTTTTAACACAATGTAACAAGTGGTTGAAAAATCTAAGAATCTGCAAAAGCCATTGACGCCTCTTAGAATCAGTAGGGAGCTTAATTAAGCAAACCACGAAGACGACGGCAACGAGAACGTCACCTAACAAAAGGTTTAATGAGCAAAACAATGGCTGTGCACGTGCGTTATAAATCTTTGTACATTTCTGTGCCGTTCTCTGCAAAAGAAGAACGTGAAATGACCAAGTTCTGTGTCGTCTAAAGGCTGCCGCACACCAGCCGATTTTTTGTCGGCTGACAAAGAATCTTCACTGGTCGGCTAGTGTGCGGTGAATTCAGACAAGTCTGCGACAAGATCAGGCTTGTCGGGCGATATCTGACAGTGCTAGATCTCAAAACGTCTTGTCGGGCCTTGTCGGCTAGTGTGCGGAGGACAAAGACAATTTGTCGGGGCTCCCGCGCCTCAACCAATATGGAAATGTCATGAGAGTCACGTCAGTGGAATAGGCGCCATCTTGATTTTGGATGACCCGGCTCCAAGCCTCAACGCGGTTAGTGGAGACAAAAAATCGGTTAGTGTGTGGCAAGCTGATGTCCTGACAAATTTTAACCCGATTTGACCCCGACAAAAAATCTGCAGCTCTACGACAAAAAAATCGGCTAGTTAAGGAACGTGGACGACGACGGCTAATTTCTCGTATTTCCATTTGGAATTTAATGGTGTCATCGCATATTTAGCCTGAGCGCGTTTTTAGAGCCATTGGCGTACCGAACAGATCTAGAAAATCGCGAATTTCGCCGGTAAAATGTTATTTTTTTACTAGGCGTCGTCCTCGGCGTCATCGTCGTCTTTGCTTAAGCTCCCTATTGGCAGAGGTCAGAAACCTTTGGAAGTCCTCGGAAACCTGCGGCAATACAGGGGCGTAGCCAGCATTTTGCATAGAGGGGTTCGTACTCATAGTATCGCTGATCCAATTGAAAGGAAAATCCAGTGCCGAAGGCGCTCTTTGCTAGGGAGGTCCGGGGGCGTTCTCCCCCGGAAGATATGGTATTTTAGGTCCTCAGCAATAGCATTTCCTTGAATTCGAGCACAAGTTTCCAATAATCTCAGCAGTACCAAACGTAACCAGGATTTCCATGAGGGGATTGCAATCTCTCTTCCTAACTGAAGAAATGCTAACAAAATTAATAATGGATAAGTGCGGTATTATTGGGCCATAAAACAGGCAGATAGAAAAAGCAACACAACAGTTTAATCAAGCGGGTAATAGAAGAGCATTACATGGTCGACCACGAGGTCTCCACACCGTGCCGCGAAGGCTACTGGGAAATATTGTTACGCAACAGATTACACTACAATAAATTGTTGAATACATTACATGCTTCATGAATTACTGCCTCAAGGAGGCGCCTTGGATGCTTTCGTGCAAAAATGTCGATTGTTTTACGAACGTCTATTTGCCTGTTGTAATGAATGTGCATTAGGGCAAGTCCAGACTCAAGTGAGTTTTTAGTCAGTCGTTTCACGCAATTTCCCCAAATTGAATTGCACACAGCCGTGCATTTGACAGAGCTTCTAATGTTCTTACTATAGATGGGAAAAGCGCAAGGAAAACTTCATGTCCTTTTACCTTTCAACCCACTAAGTTCGACACAAGTTGAGCACATTTGTTTAGCTGACCTCGGGTATTTCTTTCTCAATTACGGTTAGCAAAAGCTAGTTACGCTTCGGTGAATACTTAAAAAAATTGTAAACTTCATTGAATGTTCCAAAAGCATGTTTCTTATAAGGGGTTGATCACAGGGGTGAACGATTGCGAAGTTTAGACAGTGAGCCCTGCCGTGTGTGTACACAGCTTTTGGACTTTTTTCCCGTATCAGTGCTTGTGCGCCTCGCCAAGTAGAACATGTTAGATGCACCATTGTAACCTTACCCCCAACAGTTTTTTTCTTTCTAAGTTATAACCCTAAGGGAGGGTTCCGGAACCCCTGGAACCCTCCCCTGGCTACGCCCCTGTAATAATCTTCCGTGGTCCAGAGACCAGCCAACTTTCATCAAGAGTTTCATTTGGAATTTCCGGAAACTTTCGCTAGTATTCGAGTCATTCAGTTTCGTTCACGGCACCTTCGGCGTGTCAGCCTTCAGTTAGGAAAGCACTCAGTTCTGATATTCGTTGTAGATCACTGGGAAGTACTATTTTAAATCATTCCAGTTAAGTTTAAAAGTCATTTCAGGTCATTCTAGAAATCAGTCAAGTGTATTTTAGATCATTAAATCACTTTAGGTCATTTTAGATGATTTTAGATTTATTTTAGATATATTCTAGATCATTTTGGGTCGTTTTAGGTCATTCCTTCTTTTAGTAACTACGGCAGTATGTATTTAGGGGACCTGGGTGGGGGGCCAGACTTTTCCACTGAAATTCAGAGAATTGGGTCAGTGTACCGTTATTTAAATGGACTTTTCTTTTCTTCCACTAGTTTAAGTTTACAATTTTTTTGGAAGTGGGTAAGCTAATGCAGTAAAAGTTCAAATCTTTCAGTTGGGTGTGAGAGTTTGGTCCATAGGCATGTCAGTAGATGTGAAATTAAGGTTTTTCACCTGGTGTGAGACTCGTACCCTGTAGGCCGGCATGAGAAGATTGGTGAGTACAATCATTAACTAAGACCCTGACTGGAACAAATTTATTTATTCCACATAAAGTGACAACAACTCTAGATGTAAGAACTCAATTCAAGTCCATGACAAACACAATTTTGGAGGTATAATACTAGCATTTACGTTGTCACTCCAAGACTGAGGGACATAAATGTAAAAGGATTAAAGCTTAGAATGGTTAAGAAGAGCAGGTACACCCCAACACCTCATTCGACTAACACCTCCATCTGGATAAATGGTTAATCTCACGTGAGACACTATACCACAGTCCTTAAGTTTTAAGAACAGGTGACGCTTGTCTGGTGACAACTAAAAGGCAATAACAATATTGGAAGCAATTAACACACAAATAACAATTAACTAAAGTTAAATTTTAAAATTTACATGCATATAGAACCATGAAGCAGAGATACTAGCGATGATTAAAATGACTTAACACTTTCAAATTACTGTAAATAATCAGAACCTTCCAAGTATGATACACAATAATATTACATTACCAAAAGCATTGCTATAAAGTACCTTTGCTTTGGGTACAAGCATTTCCCATGAAAGTAAGCTCCAGTCTTCAGTAGAACCATTCATTTTGCTTTTGTTTGGCATAAGGCACCCTTTAGTTCAACAAAAATAAAAAATGAAGTAATAAAATGAATGATTGTATAGGGGAGGGGAGGGGAGTGGCAGTTAAATGCACATAACATCAT